CCCAGCCATGCAGTTAGTTCAGTAAAGAATATGCCCCGAAATTCTTGCCTTTCCCACTTTCCCTCTTCATACTGCTCATCTTCTTCTAGGAGTGCTGTGATGAGCCTAGGTCCTGACAGCACAATGCTAGATCATGGGATTAAAAGCAAGGCCTATTGTGTTTTTAAGTAAAATATCTCAAAGTAGAGAGTGGGGCATAGTATTTATGGGAATTCTGTCAGAAGGTAATTTTTCTTGAGAAATTTTCCAAGAAGATAATTTAGGTTTTTTAACTCACTCTACTAGTTAGTCAATATTCTGCCCCTACTTACCCCGCAAGGACAAGGCATAATCATCCTGTGAAGATGGATTCAAAGAGTATGGTTGGTTCTTTTACATGTTTTGCATTGTTAAAGTAGCTGCAATTCAAAGCACTTCATGAAAATTGGCCACTCCTTAAAACCTCTTGTGAGGCACATAAATACTTTGTTCATTTTAAGGTGGATAAACAGGTACATGGGTAAATTAAATTATTTCCCCAAGCCCTAAAGGGTCAGAAACAGAACTATGGACCTCTAATCTCATTCATCCTATGATACTCTGACAGCCTTCTTTTCTAACATGGACAAAAGTAATTCAAACAAGAAAAACTATTTTTCAAGAAAAAAAATATTGATATGGCAGTTATATATCCAGTCTGAGAACATTTGGCTCTGTTCATAATGCTAGAACCTACAACCTTTGACCAGGTTATATATTCAGAAGTCCATAGGACCCTTCATGAAATGGATTGGTTGCTTTCCTTCTCATTTCCCAGTACTTGCTAATAGTGGCATGAATTAGAATTTACTAGTAATCTGCTCCTAAATGTAAAGGAAGAATCTGGATGAATTGGGAAGTACAATTTAACTGTGAAAATAATTGCACTCCCTGCCTATAATTGCACTCATAAGTTAACAAGACAATTTCTAACAATTGGGTCCAATTTTTAATTTTATCAGCTAAATTATTCATGTGAAGATTTCCATTAGCTTTTAGCATGAAAATTAACTTTATAACTTAGAAGTTGGCTGGCCTTGTTCTGTTCTTCTTTATGAAGAACTTTACCAACTATGAAAATATTCTGTTTCCCTGATTTACATGATTCCTTTACACCTCCTGACATACATACCAAAGATTTCTGAGAAATTACTTCAGAGATTTACAAAGCAAAAATAACCACATAAATTCCAGGGAGAAGCAAGTATATTAGGCTGAATGTGCAGATGGAGAAGCACTATTGGTTGAATATCAAGTGGGTGCAGACTTTGTTTTTCTTTTTTCCAAGTTATTTTATATCTTGGTAATCCAGTTAAAGGGCATAGTGGTGTAGACCTTTGCTCGCAATGCAGCTGCAGTCAAACAGAATGATATGATACAGATGGACTGTGTACAATAAAGCATAGTGCCATTATATAAATCAAAGGCATACCCTCCTCTAGAGAACTGTGTAGCCTTCATCTCTTGTCTAGAATTGATGTTGTAGAATTGGAATAGATTTCAGAGAAAACAGCAGGAATATTAGGTCCATGAAACTTTTTTGTAGAGAAAGATTGAAAAGATTGGGTCTGTTTATACAGAAGGTAGATTGGGAGTTTCTGTTGTCTACATTTTCTGTAGGAACTAGGTGGGCAATCAAAACTGAAAGGTGTAATGAGGTACTTTTCACACAGCATGCAGCAGAACTTTGGAACTCACTGCACAGGACATTGCTTAGGCCAAAAACTTAGCCCAATGGACAGAGGGGTTTCACACTTTAATGGAATATACAATGCGGAGTTTAGTAAAAATGTAAAAAGGGATTAAAATACATTTATCAGAATTTATATTAACATTCAAGTGTATGGATTATGAGAAATCTTCCCTCAGGAGTGGGTTTTTTCCCCCCAACTGTCTACTATGGGATTCCTTGCATTTTCCTCTGAAGCATCTGATACTGGCTGCCACTGGGGAAACTGTCAGGATATCAGACAGCAGGGACTGCTGCTGTGGTCCAGTGTGACACAGTTTACATCTTTTTCCTCTTTCTGCTAGGCTACCATACTTCATTTGAACCCGTTTTTCTCCTCTTTCTTTTCTGTGGAGCTGGTGAACTCAAGCTTTTATTTTCATTGTGAGCTCCTTCCTCTATGAAATCATAATGCTTCTCTTATCGATCCAAAAGTCCAATGGTTTTAAACCATTCTTTGCTTGTTTTTAGCATTTGTCCATTATATGCTACACATCAAGAACAGTGAGTGATTCAAATATCATACTGTGCTTTTTTCTCCATTTATTTGTGCTTTTGATTCAGCAACGTGCTGTTTTGTTTGAACTGATTCAGGCTGTGTATACATGTTCAAATAATCTTGGAGAATTCTCCTGAGTTTGTTTTCCAAGTAGAGGAATTTACCCAGAGGTCCCTCCCAGAGATTCAGATGCTGAGCCCCTGAAAAGCAGAGAGCTTACAGTGCTGGTGCTGCAGTCAGGGGGCCCTGTGCACACATTTCAATATACTCTGCAGGTTCCCTCAGGCAGCCTGGAGATAGATGGTAGCAGTGCACTGTGCAGACCTGATTGATTAACCTAGACTGCTCAGGTTTAGCCTGTGTCCCCCTGCAGCACAATGTGAGATTTGTGATGGGAATGTGTTCTGCTCCCTGCTTAATGGGAGCAGCAGAGTCCAGTTCAAGTGTTTCTCAGAGAGGGGGTAGGGGGATGCTGGAGAACTGTGCTGTAGCAACTCTCTGAAAGAAACATGTACAGACATGTACTTTTTTAGGAGAAACTCTCCCAAGAGTGATTTAACTTTTCATGTTCTGGGGGGGGGTTGGTTCTCCTGGAATGGCTATTTTTGCACTGGTAGAAAAATACTGAACACCTGTACACTCTTGGTTTTTCCTCCCAAGAGAAACTGAATGTCTGTATATGGCCCAAGACTTTCAAAATGAATGATTTTGATGCATCTAAATTTTGGTAGACTCATCTTGAGATGCTTTATGGGGGAGTGTCTTATTTTCAGATACTTACCTTCATCAGACTTTATGTGGAATATGATGATAATATTGCAGTGGAAAGAGGAAACCCATAGGACAAATTCCATGTGATGGCCCAGTCAATTTGACTTTCACTGGGAGTACATGGTCCCTGAGCATAGAATTTGGTTTGTATTCTTCAACATGCAAACTTTTAGGTAAATTTTGTCTTTTGATTTTGCTTTTCTCTTTGCCCGCTTAACTTCTGTATTTTAATCTGCATTATAACTAACTCTCTTCCTCTGAGATTTGTATTTCTTCTTCTTCCCTGCAGCTGTAATTATTTTAGCTAATGTGGTTTTCTATGTAAAATATGGCCTTGCCCTCATATGAGGAAGTGCCTTTTAAAATTAAAGAATAAACTGCTAGTGCATCAGAAGAAACTGTGAAAGGCACGGAACAATTAATTGGAGGCTAATTGAAAGCTCCCATTCAAACAGTGGTGAAAAGCTATTGCAGAAATAATGTTTATGGAAAGCTCAATATATAGGGTTCAAGATAAAAGGGGTATATCTTAAGGGGCCATTAGATATGGCAGGTCTTCTGAGGCTGTATTGACTCTCAGTGCAAGCAGGGCCTTTCAGTCCTTTTACATTGCAAACAACAGCTGCTATAAAGCAACCCCAGAGACTAATACAATTTAACTAAAAGGAATAGTTGAATGTATATTCAGCTTGGCTAAGCAACAACTAAAGAGGGGCATAGCAATAATCTTACACACATCTAAATGGTGTTAATGTCAAGAATGGAGGCAAAGTAATTAGGGTGATTCACAGGAGTATAACTAAAAGCAATGAGACGAAACTAAGAAAAGGAATCTCTAGGAAATCTCTGACCTATGAGATGTAATAGGCTGTGGAAACTCTCTCTTGGGGAAATGAAGGAAGTTGCATGAGCTGGGATTTTAAAACTTGGATTGGATAAAGCATTAGCAAATGCATTAGAGGACTCAATCTTGTATTGGCAGGAATATGAATTGATTGATTTTATGGGACTTAGCACTGTGATCCTGGAATGTCTTTTCTTGACACCTGTTCTATCTCCTATTCATTGAAAAAATGCCACTGATTTTAGTGGAAGTTAGATCAGGCCCCATAAACCCATATAAGCTAATGAGCATGTACTAGAAGTCTCCTTCAGATGGGTAACTCTGAAGTTTTGTGCCCTGGGTGGTGGCTGGGGCAGGGAGGTCGGTTGCCTTCTAAGTTAATACCCGGGGCTGGTGCCCTGCTTCATCACCTGTAGTTATAAAAGCGGCTGTCTTTTTTCATGACTTGAGCAAGGGCCTGACAGAATTGTGTTCAGTTCTCCATTGGGCATAGGTGGAGCCTAGTGTGCACTAGACCCAAAGATCTAGGTGGTCCTTTCTACTTCTATGATGCTGGAATGATGCCACTTGTAGTGTTCCCTTTGAGCCATAAGCGTCAGCTTGTGTTTTCCTGAGATGGCTTGTTTTTTTCCTTGTGGCAGTGTGATTCCACACTAGACTGCTCAAGCCAGCAGCTACATATCATGGTTTAAGACACAATATTTTACAGTTTTTTAAAAAAGTATTGTATACCAAAGCTGGTACGCAGGTGCTAGTGAGGTAATGATCTTTACTGTTCCAGTTTCATCTGACTTTACCATGGTCTTTTATTCAGTTAAAGCTCACATTAACTTTAACCATGTACTTCAGTAGCAATTTTGGCCTCAGTAAAGATGGCATGATTTGTCTTATTATGTTATTATTAACATTTACTTGTTATTATAAATTGATATTCTGAACATTATTTTATTCTTCATGTTCTTAGGGACTAACTGTTCACTCTGGAAGGTGAATTGTTCTTCTGGGGCATGGATTTCTTTTCCCCCTTTTCTGTAAAAGGGCTCATTTTGTTCTCTGAGAATATAGCAAGGTACAAAGATCCTGTTGTTTCCCAGAAAAAGGGTTCTCATTTGTGAAGAGATGTGTTTGTCTCATGGCAGATAGCTCTCTCATGGATGCTCAGACTGTGCATGGAGCCAGCCTCGCTCTCACACAGATTGCTGCCCTTCTGTTGAAGAGGTTTCACCACACCAGACGAAACTGGAGAGGAACGCTGTCAAATGTTTTACTGCCTGTCCTGTTTGTTACCATGGCAATGGCCTTGTTTACTGTGAAGCCATTGGCTATTGATTATCCTTCGCTCAAGTTGACCCCTGGACTTTATGACAATGCAGAATCCTTCTTTAGGTAAAGAGCTCATTTATCATCAAAAAGTGTGGACAGTGTTATTGTTCTTTAAAGAGCTGTCATTTTTTAAAATAAACTTTTTAAAAGCAGCATAATCAAAAATACTATTACACAGCAACCAGATTTTATTAAGAAAAAAAATCTTCAGGACTTCCCACCCCACCAGACGTGAACATTTATTGTAAGCATTCATTTTATGGCTCTGGAGAATTTGAAGAGCATAGTGTATCTAAGTAACAAATACATCATGTTATCATCATGTATTTCTGTTATTTAGATAGATTTTGGAACAATATGGAGGCATAATCACAAAAATTCCAAGGTTTGCAAATATAGCCCAGCACTTAAAAAACCTGTAGTCCTTGCTGCTTTTAACCTCAGTGTGTACAGGTAGTTTTTTTGGAGTTTACAATGTCTGTAGATTGGCTTTATTTACAGGTTCTGTGGTCCCAGTCTACCAAATACAAATGCTGTGTTATGCATAATCTGTTAGTATTCTGGGCAGAGATATTCCTTTGCCTGATATAGATCAAAAGAGTAGATGCAGATTCTATCATCATAAAGAAAGAGCCCATGCCTTTGAATTTATAACTGAAATACTAGGAGTATATCTTCCTCTTGTGTGGCAGCTTGTGGGGATTGATGCCAGTATCTAGAAGAAAGAATTGGCTTTGAGGCACAGATAATGTTCACGTAGTGATCTTAGAAATTCGTACATATTTAAATATTTTAATATTTAATTGTTAAAACTGGTGTCCTTCTAATTTTACTTGATAAAATGGGTTGTTATCTATTTTCTGTCCTGGTAAAGCCTTTTATCTGTGAATATAGTATTAGGGCGTATTGCTCATTTATGCTTCCTTGATTTCTAGCTTGGTAAGGGTCTGAGTGCAAACACAGGTTTTCTTTGTACTGATGACCTTACTGATTACTCCCTTGTCTCTGAGCAGCACTGACAGTGATGACCTACAAAATCTCTCTCATGTCCTATTGAGATATTTTGCAGACTGGCAACATCCATGTGTGTACTCAAGACAAGATATGTAAGTGAAACAATACATCTTTATTAATGAACTACATGACTGATTTAATGATTACAGCTATTGTTATAGTGCATGCATTTTTTGGAACAGCTATTTAAATGTCATGCTTTGTAAGGTTTTTAATATAATAATAAGTCATTAAACAAACCACTGTTCACTATTATTTGCTTGAAGAGGAACAATCTTCACTTCCTTTACAAAAAAGAAGTTTAAAAGAATATCTATGCCTCCAAAAGTAAATAAGAGGTAATATGAGATTTTGTAAATAATTTCTATTTCTGTGTTTTATTTTCCTATGCTTTGCTTGACCATTATAGCATGAGTTTTAAAAAATGCTCTATTGATTGGGCTTGCTTATAGCTGAAATATATCATAGAGCTTCCTTTTAGAGGAAATCTCAAGCCATGTAAGTGATAGACTTTCTATTAATTCTGGAGGAATTTTGATTAGTCCTTTAGTCAGTTTGAATGAAATCAGTGGTGGCACAGTCAGCAGTTGCAAGACTTATTCTGTTGAATCAGTATTCATTATATAGAAGCCTGGATTTTCAAATTTAGATTATTTGTGGTTGTGGTCACATGTTTATTTGTCTTGTGAATGCAAACACCAGGTCAGCAACTAATTGGTTGATTTGCATGCATACATATTTTTAGTGATAAATTGGAAGCCATTTTGACAGTCGCCCACAATTTACTAAAGAGAAGATACTGTTATAGAATAGAATGTGAAGGTTGTCAATATAGAGTCATAGTTTGCTATACTGTAGACATGTACTGTTAAATAAAATATTTGTTTTTTTCTTTTAATGATTTTTTTCTCTTGTTACGTTTGCTCCCTTAGAAAAAATGATTTGTGTTGGCAGACTGAGCCTAGTTCACCACAAAAAATTTTGGATTCTTGTGGGTGTGTGTCAGATCAACAGGTATATTTCTTCCATTCCTATAAAATAAGCAAAAAAAAAAATAGGAACTCAGTGGATTGGCCTCATTATGACTGGAGATTTCATTCTGTCTCTTGTACTGCTTTGACTCCATGTTCTGGAGTTTGTAGGGAAATGAGTTGTAAAACAATTTTTAGATTGCACTTAGCCAAACTGCTTGCAGTCTGCTATGTTGAGCTTGTGAAACAACTACATCTTCCAAGAATGGCTCATTGTAAAATGTATGCTGCAGCCCCCTCTATGTGCAGGTAAAGGCACGATGGGATCTAATGTGTGATTCACACATTATGCCTCCTACTATGCTTGTGAAACACCTGGGGCCTGAGGATCACCGCTGGGGCAGTCTCCACCCCAGGGGTGCGTGAAACCGCCCAGGGCCAGAGAATTCCTACAGGGTAATCACTGTGTCCCAGGGATGTGGGAAACCTCCACAGCTAGAAGATTGCTGCAAGGACCATCCCCCTTCCCTGGGGCTATATGAATTCCCTGGGGCTGGAGGTTCAGGTGATCCCTGTGCCCTGGGGGTGTGGAAAACCCCTGTGGCTGGAGGATTACCTCAGCAGCAATCCTCTTGCCTGGGGAAGGCATACTGTAGGGACCCAACATCTACAGCTACAGGACTGGTGGTCCTAGTGGCTGCTGGATGCAGCTGGGACCCAGAGTCCACAGCTGCTGGGGCTGAGGGTCCCCAGCAGTTGCAGGACTTGCAGCCCTGGCTGGGACCCTTGTCAGATTCCGGGGCTCCCAGCTTCAAGGAAAACCCGATACACATATAAATTAAAGGTTGATAGCAACCAGCTATAAAGTTAATACTCCTTTCAGAAATCTAACTTTATATCTGATTGAAGCTTTTTATTGTGTAACAGCTACTTTGCACATGTAGCTGGTCTCAAGTAATTGGACAATTAACCAGTCAATTGTTCAATACCTGTAAGGTGTAGAGGAGGCCTGTATGAAACAAATATCTTTAAAATTTTGACAGAATGTATGTTCCCAAAAAGAGATTTCAGGCCTTTCAAATATAATTCTGTTTAAAATATTACTGTATGAACCCTGACAAACGAAGACTTAGTAGTTTTGATCGGTTAGGGTTCAAACCTGCCTTAGCAGCATTCAGTATTCACTGGTTATACTTTCTCTATTACTTACTTAGATGTAGCACTGAATATTCATTCATTTTACAGGTTGGACACTGATTACAGTTCTGGCCGCTGTAGTGATAGGTAAGGAGGAGGCTAGGGACCCAAGTCCCTTGGCTGCAGGCTAGCAAGGCCTGAGGAGATCCAGGACTGGTGTTACACTGCTCTTACTGGGCGGCCAGAGAGACTGCAAGGCAGTGAGCCAGGGAGAGGGGTTAGGGAGATTATGGAGTAATGGGATGTAGTGGTAAACATGATGGCTGATGAGAGCAAAGATCCAGATAGCAAGGTTATAGTGGAGACCGTATCTGGGAAGCACAACAGAAAATGTTCAGATCAGCACTTACGGAGGTGGCCAAGGGAGCTTTCCTGAAGCTGTAGCAGTCATAGCTGGAAGGGATGCTTCTGCACAGCTAGGCAGTGCTCCAGGTTGGGTATTGTAAAAGGTCTCCCTCCCCAGCACCATCTTTTGTGTTATCCGCGCCTTATGTGGGGCACCCTTGGAGTCCCCTTAAGGTTTCTTGTGTCCCACTGTCTACTCGCCTGCCACATCTTGATAGAAATATAAGCAGGAGACTGCCTATTGTTTTTGTGTATTGGGGTCTTCCGCCACCCTTGGCCTTGACCCCAGTCTCTCTCTAGTGAGGCCTCCCTGTCTGAACCCACCAGATAGGGTTTGACTCCAAGGCTCTAGCTCTTTAATCCTGGGGCTCGTGGCTCTCCCTTTTTGCTCCGGTCTGGAGCCCAGTCTCCCTGGCCCAGAGGCCCATCCACCGGCCCCACAGCTATGTGGTTGCAAGTTCAAAGCTGGGCAGCGGCCCCAAAACTCCACTGGCTCAGCTTTTAACCCCTACCTTACCAGCTTGCTGTGCCCAGAAAGTTCTGGTTTTAAAGGGGCCGACCTGTCTTCTGGTAACAGGGCCAGGGTTCCCTGTTACAGGTATGGATTTCCTAAACATCCCCCTATTCCTTAGCTCCAAGAGAAAATGGTTGGGCCATGCTGAGGGAGATGAGCCACAGAAGGGACTGCTGAAACAAACTGCTGAAATGGGGTGCAGAGCACCCTACCTGAGGATGGGGAGGAGGATGGGCTGAGAACTCTGGATAGAACATTGATTCTGAGAGAAGGGCAAGAAGGTGGAAGAAAGGAGAAGCCACTCGCAGGTGGACAGTGGAGGCAGTCTGTATCTATGCAGAGGAAGAAGAATCTCTGAAACGGCAAATTTTAGCTTATCTGGGTTCTGGGTACATCCAACACTTCTCACCGCTCATTTCCACTGTACAAAATACCTCATCACTTGATGTTGTAATCTGCTTACTTTTGGAAGTGACTGAATGTCTATGAATCATCTTTGTATGTTCCCATCTTCAGTCCATTGGACAATATTAAGAATATTTTGGATGACTTTGAATTCTGCCTCTCTTTCATAATCCATCCAGTGCATTTTTATGTATTTATTTTCATGTTCAACAGATGAATGTTAGTGACTGTAAAAGTCTCAGTGTGCTTTTCATGGCTGCAGACCTTCCAAGCTTGCATTCATAAAGTTTTTGATGTTTCTAAAACAAAGGTGATTGAAAATATTGTACCATATATATAGGTGATGTAATTATTTTAAATGCCATATAAACATAAAACCATACATAATTTATCAAAAAGTTATAAAAGCTGTAAAATACAATTACAGCTAAAATGTAGTACAGTAAAGTTTGAGGCTGAACATATAGTGGTTGAGGTTTTTGAAGGAACCTTAGTAATTTGTGTGCTATTTTTATTTTTTAGAAGTGCCCAATTATTAATATCTCAGTTCCCTACTTGAAGAATATGCAAGGACATCTCCTGTACAACCTCTCAGGGTTCAATGTGGAAGAATATTTAATCAGACCTTCTAACAAAGCAAGGTATTTTTTAATATTCCCCTGGATTTCCCCTTTTTTTAATCAGCTGTCTAGAAAGTTGTGCTAGAACAATGGAATAGAGCTCTTGTGTGCTACAGGCATGAGTAGAGTATAACACAGCGGTGGGCAAACTGTGGCCCAGGGGCTGGATGCAGCCCGCCAGGCCATTCTAGCTGGCCTGTGGGGACCCTAAAAATTTTAGAAAATTAATATTTATCTGCCCTGGGCTGCCTGTCATTCGGCCCTCGATGGCTTGCCAAAACTCAGTAAGCGGCCCTCTGCCCAAAATAATTGCCCGCACCTGGTATAACAACTCAAGAGCAGTGAATGAAAACTTGGCCATATACAAACAGATATCAGGATTGTTACCGAAATAGTACAGGTGCAACATAAGACTTCTTTCTCCAAAATTATGAACCTCTCTAATTTAGGATCACAAAGCAGTTCTCCATTATCTATCGGAGTAGATTAAGCCAATCTGAGATCCTCATTGGTTTTATTCAGACACTGGGACCTAGATTGAATTAAGTTTTCAGTGGTTCTATAAGATATCAGTTAGCTAAACTGATGTCATTATGAATCCAGGATCCAGGAGAATTTCTTATCCCTGACATCAGGGTCAGGCAGTTATTTGGGCCTATGGGCCATATAGAGAGTTTTGTTGAGGTGTTGCAGGCTAGGTCAGCAATCCCACCCCACCACACAATAACTCACCAAAACTCCCTATGTGGAATGGGGCTGTAGGAGGCTTGGGAGTGGTGTGCTGGGGCAGGAGGGATGGGTGAGGCTGGGATCAGAGGATGGAGTTACAGGCAGTGACAGCACAGAGCTTGGGCCTGGGCCAGAGCCACTATCTGCTGCGTGAATAGGGTGCCCTGTGATGCGTGTGGGTCCCATGGGAAGGGACATGCATAGAGCAGATCATGGCTCTGCTCTGGCCCAGGCCTCGCATTTTCACTGCTCCAAGATTCTGGGCTTGGCCCTGGCCCCAGATGCAGCTTCCCAGCCACAGAGATGTGTGCTCTGGCTGGGGAAGGCAGAGCCCCGGTTTTGCAGGCAGGGACATGCGCTGAGTGAATTGTGACTTTGTTCTGACCCCACACACTGTCACTGCCCTGAGATCCTGGGGTTTCTCTGGCTCTACTTGCCCATCTTGCACCCAAACACCACTCCTTGCTGACCCGTGGCCCCATCCCAGATGTCTGGCTGAGCACCCGGTCTGTATGGGTCCTGCCCCTGGCAGCGAGTGCGAGGTGGACAGGCCAGGGTGCCCAGGCAGCAGGGCTGGGTCGATGGCAGTGCAGCTGGAAGGAGCCTCTGCTGCCACTGGTGCTGCTGGGAAATGGCATCTGACAGCCAGACTGCCCCAGCTCTGCTGTGTGCCCAGGCACATACCACAGCCTGGGCTACCTGCCACAGGCTGGGCAAAAATAGCTTATCATGCCTTTTCCCTTTCCTGCTTTCCTTTCTGTTCTTCTTTGTCACATTAATTAAGTTACCCCCACTTTATATTGTCCCTAAAGTTTCTGTTTGTTTAAGAAAACAGTGTAAGCATGCAGTTGCATTGTAGCAATACATAAATGCACAGGGTCACAGAAATCACTAATTATTATTGATATACAATTTTATTTGTTTACCAATAGTTTATTAATTGTATTAACCTTAGAATAAGGCATTCTAACAAACTTTCCCATTATACCTTTCTTAACCTAAATGGTGGATTTTGGTGTTTACTTAGCTGAATATGCAGATTCCTGCAAACACTCTGCTGAATACATTTGTAACACTTGGAAACTACACAGCAGTCAGTTAATGAGGATTTGGGGCTTTCTAGCTTAGCAAGACTTTTGCAGCAATGCCTAGGCTCTTGAAAATGACAGTGCTAGAAATGCTAGTGTATCTCAGTTCAGTGAGTTGTGTAGTTTATCTGCCATAGAAATTAATGGGGCAATTAAGGTTTTTTAGAGCTACTGTTTCAGTCTGTTTGCAGAGTCAGGCAAATATTGGTACATTACTTATACTTAGGTCACATTTCAAATTTTCTTTGCAACCATGAGGGCTAGGCACCTTTTTCACAGGGGAAAAAAAACCGAGGTCTGGATGTAACTGCACAATACCAGGAATATGGGTATGAAGGATGAGTCCACGATGCCTGTTTTAATTCAGTCCTTCTCTGATCCCTTTGGACCTCTGCAGTGAGTAAGTGACATAACTTCAGGCAAGGTAGTTTGAGGAGTCTCTGGTCAGCAGAGACTCCCTTTGCCTGGAGAAGGGTGACTGCACCTGAAAGCTTGCTAAGAACTTTTTCCCGGTACTCAGTTGGTCTA